TGGGCACATTAGCGTTCACGGACCGTGGCGCAACTGGGATTCAAACCCGCATTAGCGTTGACGGACAGTGGCACAATTGGGATTCAACACAAAAACGCACTCATGTATGTAACGTTTGCCAGTAATATTAGCGATGCCATTGGCATGTCGGAGCAGGACATAGTTCACAATATAATGCCCAATTATTTATGGAAACAGACAACCATTACGCAGAATTTTCCTGCAGCATAAATCAAATCTCGATGTCTTGGTCTTTTCCTGAGCGCTGTGGGCCCAGCGCCTCCAGCCGCTGGGCCAAATATGACACCTGGAGCTTTCCAGACATGAATTTATGTAACAAGCACATCAATGCAACTCTGAGGGGGGAGGGGCAGGTAGAATTCAACTTCATGGACTAGATTAGACCAGAGCCTGAAACTTGTCTCGAGAACCCTGGGTGCCCAGTTATATCCCTTATGAGACGAGTCGGCCTCAGTCAACGTCGACGGCGGTGAGCAAGAAAGACGCGGTGCTTTGAGACGAGCTGGGGTAAGACGCCACTTCTCACTTCTCACTCACTTCGAGACGAGATGAGCCGACTTGCCGGTGGTGGTGAGCACGACGATGGCAGCGGCCTGCATCTTGAGCGAGGCGCCGACGGCCGCCAGCGACACGGAGTGCGTGTGGTCGGCCTGACCCACTAGGCTCGACTGGTCCATGTAGAAGCTGGTGTGCCACACGACCGACTCCGCCTCGCGGCAAATGCGGCCCATCATGGAGACGCACTGCAGCGGGAAGTCGCCCTTGGCCGTCTCGCCCGAGAGCATGACGCAGTCGCTGCCGTCCAGCACGGCGTTGGCCACGTCAGAGACCTCGGCGCGCGTGGGGCGCGGCTTCTTCACCATCGACTCCAGCATCTGCGTGGCGCAGATGACCGGCTTGCCGGCGATGTTGCAGCGCGTGATGAGCGCCTTCTGCGCGACGAACACCTTCTCGGCGGGGATCTCGATGCCCATGTCGCCGCGCGCGACCATCACGCCGTCGGACGCCGCGATGATCTCGTTCATGTTGGTGATGCCTTGGTGGTTCTCGATCTTGGAGATGATCTTGATGTCGCGGCCCTTCTCGCCGAGCACGGCGCGGATCTCGTGCACGCCAGCCGCGTCGCGGATGAATGAGGCAAACACCATGTCGACGCCTTGCTCGACGCCCAGCATCAGGTCGCCGCGGTCCTTCTCCGACACGGCCGGCAGGTCAACCGGCGTGCCCGGCAGGTTGACGCCCTTCTTCGAGCCCAGCATGCCGCCGTTCTCGATCTCGCAGACGATGAAGTCGGCGCCGATCTCCTTGGCCAGCAGCGAAATGAGGCCGTCGTCCACGTAGATCTTGCAGCCGGGCTTCAGCACCTTCGTGATGTTGACGTAGTCGACGAACAGCGCGTCCTTGCTGCACTTCTCGGCGAACGCCTTGTCAGTGGTCAGCTTGATTGTCTTGCCAGCGACCAGTTCCACCTCGGCCGACGCGCCGCCCTCCAGCAGCCCGGTCCTGATCTCCGGGCCCTTCGTGTCGAGCGCGATCCCGATCGGCACCGGGCGGCCCGCCTTCTGGCTGAGAACCTCGCACGCGCGCCGCACGTTCCCCATCGTCTCGGCGTGGTACTCGTGCGTGCCGTGCGAGAAGTTCATGCGCGCGATGTTCATGCCGGCCTCCATCAGCTGGACCAGCTTCTCGACCGAGCGCGTGACGGGTCCGATGGTGCACACGATGCCCGTCTGTCGGATGGTGCTCGGCGCCGAGTCGATGTCCAGCGCGGCCGTGTGCTCGAGCATCGTGTGCGCGCGCTCGGTCTGCATCGTCGATTTCTGGGACATGGCTGCTGGATGGCTCAGGCTGGATGTGATGCTGGTCTGGAACAGGCAGACCATGATGTAGATTTGATAAACCTTGGTCATCATGGGATGCAAGGTACTGGCATGTGGTTATGTTCTGACCAAAGGCACACCAAGAATTTGGGCCAAAAGTGTGAAAATGGAAAGTGGAAAGAGGAACCAGAGTCAGTCAGGAGCTGTGGAAACTTGTGTGCTCCCATGTTAGTACTATGCTTTTAATTTCCCAGATCATGCATGGGAATGTTTAGATCCTACTCAAAAGTTAACCCTGTTCACAGCAACAATATTATGTGCTCAGTATCCGGACTTGTGGCCAAGCCCTATCCATAGTGTGGTATTTCCTTCAGCTTTTTCTCCCATGGACTCTGCAGCCATCAGCTGTTGAAGACAGACAAACTGTGAGTGAGTGACTACACACATTACACTGTAGTATCACCAGCACAGTGTGGAACAGTAGCTGCCAGGTATTGAGCTGGCTTTGCGACAGTGTGTGTGTGTGTGTGTCATTGAGGCTTTAAGACACACTCAGCTGCTGAGGCTCTATGGCATCACCTGCCTATCACCCTGGCAGGAAGGGCAGGCACTGCCTTTGTGACTGTGTCCCTTTTCAACCAACAACAGCTTTTTGGCTTTCGTGCTGAGCTGCAGTTGGCGGAGCTAACTGTTGGTTAGCATGCCATTATCAGCTAGCTGTCAATCTTGACTGCAGTGAGGCCAGCTACCTACTATGAGTCAATGACAGGAAATCTGACTTGGACCCTACAAATATATGATCTACAATCCTTTATCAATTTCACTGAATGAGGCTAGGTCTTCGTACTACTGCTTTCCTAGCAATTTCAGTCACGCAAATAGCACCTAAGTGTTTCTGACACATTGCTGCATGTGATCTTATATATAGGGCTTTTCCCATTTTTTATAAGTGAGCACAACATACATCATCACAGCCCTTCTATGGAGCACCAGTGACTGCATTGGCTACATCAGTGCTCAACTGCTCAGGAGTCATAGAACAACAAGGATGAGGCAGGGCCCTAAGGTGGGGGCCTGAGGTGCTAACCACTTTGCTGTTATGCCTTCCCTAACTTGTTTCCCTTGTGCTTAGGTGAAGGAGACCCAGCCCTTATCTATCTGTCTAAAGAGTAACAAATCTACAAATCTAATCTAACAAATATATCTATATCTATCTATATTAAATATCTAATAATCAAATAAAACCTATCTAAATCTAAATAAAATTTGAGGAGTACTAACAAATGCTGTCTATTAGGCTAACATTTATACTTCCATGGGCAAAGGTAACAGGCTGCTGCCATCAGTTACACCACCTGCTAGGGAACCTGGTTGTGATCACTGTAACCCACACCTCAAATAAATCCACAACATAAGGGTGCTGCCACTCCTCATGGCTCTATTTATTCTGATAGCATCCCTTGTACAGTATTGATGCAATGCTTAAAATAGGCAGAGATGCTATGGCACAATATCTTTATCTGAAGATTTCTAGTAATTTGTGGCCGGCAAATAAGTTTACCCTTAAGAAAGCAAGTATCTGGTCTTGGATGGTCAACTGGCAACTGCCTACAACTTAATGTGTATTAAAACCATCAAAGCCTCCTGGAAAAATTACAAAAATGGTCAGCAATCAAGCTGAAATATGTATTGGTCTGGGCACTGTGCTGGGTTTACAAAGGGTGGTATCAAAAGTCACCACTTTAAAACATCTGACACAAGTACAAAGCAAACAAGCAGCAATGCATTAGTGATTTGTACAAAATATTCAAATAAAGAAACACCAATTAAAAACAGAAATAAACACAACTGAAATATGACAAACCTCAGTTGCCATCACACAAAAATGATTCCCATCATAGGGACCATAGGCTGGGACTCACAGCTTTGACACCACAAACAAATTACAGTCCCAAATGTTTAAATCAAGTGCACAGTCCCACTCAATAGTAGTGGGATGAATGCACGCAGTTACAAAAGTCCATCTGTAATCATCAAGGCCCTCTGGCACATCATGCATCGTTATCTTCGGAAGTGTAGCTTATGAGAAGATAAATACAAACCCCTTTCTTTACCACCTTCAACCAGCAGGAATCTCCCTGTCCTAATCGGCGCCGGCAATTGCCTTGCGACCTTACCTCGGTGCTGATACGTGGATCCTCCGCCAAAACGCGCCGGGTGCCTCCGTCCACATCTACGGGCACGCGCCCCTCACGTGAGACCCGCCAGGGTCAGCGGTGAGAACGGTTTAAAGAGGTTTCTACCGCTACAGCTTCTACCGAATAGTCAGCTGAGCTATTGAAATAGTGTCAGTAGCTCTGCCATCTATTGCGTCACTATTGACGCCCACCGTAATATCTGCCTTTTCAATGTGCCCGATTACCGTCAGCTAGTGACCTTCAGAGGACACCTTGGGCCAGAGGTTTGTCCTGTGGTTTGTCCGCGAATTGTACGATACAGCTAAATCATGCGCACTCCTTTCGCATCGGTAAAGCTTTCTTTTCAGTTGTCGGGATTGGGCAGTCTCCCAACTTAGTTCTAGCCCCCCCCCCCCCCCAGCTAAGAGACGTGAGTGAGCCAAATCCGAGGACAAACTCGTGTGTTGGCACATTTTAGGGGTTGGTGGGGTCATTTGTCATTGTTCAGCTGACAACCCACAACCATCCCATTGTCTGGACCTTTGCTCCTGCACCTGTGACGCTTACTTTGGTCGAAAATCGTCAGTGACATCCGTAAAACAAGGCTGGTTCACGATCAGCTTCCATAGAATTTAAGCGGTGCCGTGGCTCCACTCTGGTTTTGGGAGGATTAACTCAAGGCGTCCAAGACGGGCGCCGCAAAACCGGGTAGCGGCAGCATGAGATCGATCGTAATAACGCTGTCATTGCGCGCCAATGCTCCGAAATAAAACCACATGTTCAACCTGGACACGCTTTGCACTCTGTTATATCAGCTTCCTCTGACCAGCCAGCGGCCAGTCACGGCCATCCCTCCGGCCACTGCCAAACGCCCACACTGCCTCCGTGTAACCCGTGCCTGCCATCTATGGGCAAGAGTAGCAACCTGTTGGCAAGCTGCCGCCCGACAGCTGAGAGCTTGGCGCCGTCCAGGGCCGCGGCCCAAACAACCCCGACCTGACTGCCTACACTGGTCGCGCAGCGTGCTGGCCGGGCGAGGGGACCACGCGCACGCTAGCAGTCCCTCGGAGCACAGCCCTGACGTTATCGTTATCAGTTACGTGATCACGCCGAAGGCCGTAGGCGCGGTGCTGAAACAGGCGGGAACTTCTGGCGACGGCGGCGGCGGAGACGGAGACGAGTGAGGCTGTGACGACGCAAATTGGTGGCTACGAGAATATCCGTCCGGTTCAAGGTAAGCAGTGGGACCGTCACAACGTACGCGTGAACCGGATGCGTTCTCTACGCAGTTGCGGATCCGGGATTTCGTCAAGGAGGGGGAGGCACGCAACGTGGTGCCCCTAAAGTTTGGGCCCCTCCAAAATATCTCCGTATTCAAGCCATCAGATTTTAAGATCTTGGGTATGAAATTTGTGTATTGTAACCCATTTTACTGTGCGCAGCCCTGGAAAATCACGCGTGTTACGTATGCACATACTTTGAGCTTATTCATTTTTTCTCCACATCTTGATGGATCCTGTCATTTGGGATTTCGGGAAAACAAGGCAAAGTGAACTAAATGTGACTGTTCAGTTCCCTAAAAAATCAAGCACGAACTTGATTCATAGATGATTTACAGCTAGTCAGTAGGTCGATATGATCGGCTGATCGCTGAGTCTAAAGCATAGTTCATTTGCTTTGACTAAGATGAAGGAGCGCAAAATGTCCGGTACAATTTTATTTGAATGTTATGAACGGGTGCAAAATGTTTTATCATTGGAAGTGTATTAAGAACGTGATGCATAAGTAATATAAGTGTCATCTTCAAAAACCAACGAAAATGGTACACACAACGCCGGCGGGACGTAAAATTATGTCCGACAATCACCCGTAAACAAGTCATCGGCTCGTAACAGAGCGTAACAAATGGGGCCGCGGACAAGAGCATTCTTTTTACTCCATTCAAGTAAGAAGTATCCAAAACCGAACATGGAGGGCCCCCGAACGATCAAGTGTGCCCGAGTGGGTTTAAAGATGGGCCCCCCGGCAAGAGCGTGGGGCCCTCATTCAAGTAGGGAGTACCCAAAACCCAATGTGGAGGGCCCCGAATAATCGAGAATGCCCGAGCATGATCGAGTGTGACCGAGCAAAACAGCAGATGTGCCCCCCCCCCCGACAAAAGCGTGGAGCATTCCATAGGTGGCAGGAAATTTGCTTTACACCATTGTAGAGGGCCCATGAGCATATCGCGAGTGTGTCGGTAGGTGAACGGTGACCAACGTGAAAGGCCACTGAAGAATCGAGAATACCCCGACAGGTTTTAATATGGGGCGCGCGGCTGTAGCGTAAAGAGCTTTTCGAGCGAATGGGAAGAACCACTGGAAGACCCCTGATCGACAAGAGTGCCTCGACATGCTAGCAGAAAAGGCCCCGACAAAAGCGCAGGGCCCTCCGAGCGAATGCAAATAAATCAAGGCAATGTGATGACCTCCGTAGCGATCGGGTTGACCCTGAGGGTTGACATATGAGGCCCCGAGAACAGCGTAGGGCCTCTTAAAAGCGTAATGAGTCTTGAAACCCCTCCATCACCGCTCTTTTAATCAGTGAAGAATAAGTGTTGTCTACTCGTGGGGCCTTTAGTAACACTTCCGACTGTTCCTGGTCGCCTGGAAGCCCAAAGACGTCCAATGATGCTGCGTTTTGTGTTGAGGAACTGCGGCTCTTCGGCTGGCTACGGACCCCTTCGGAGCCTATGAGACGCTTCGAGACTCAAAGGAGAAGAGGGCTTCCCATTGTGCTTCCCGTGCTTCCCCGTGCTTCCCATTCTCTGGATCCGTCACGGTCCTCACGTACGGCCAAGCAAGAACCTGAGCACGTTCCTGGGTACCGGTGCCACATCGTAGAGAAAAGCCGTCTTTGTTCTACAGGTCCTGTGAGATTTACGTCCTGACGATATTGGGCGCATATCTCCGAAGCGACAATTGCAGGTAGTCCATCGCGAAAACAAGACATGTGGCACCATCTAAGAAAGTCGTCTTCGTACCTCATTGTTTTTGTTTTTTAGGACGCGAAGCACGTGGCTGCTCTTTTTACCTTACGGAACGTCAGCGCTGACGATCGTCATATCACCGATTATGGGCCATAGCGTGGCTCGGATGTCAGCCTGGACCGCCCGCACAGCGGCCAGTGCCGCTATACCCTGCGGCCGTTGCGCCCTTTTACTGAGCAGCCCGTGGTGTCGTCCGCGCTTTCAGACGACCCGACGCCGCTGAGATGAGCTACAACCCGTACGGCGGCCAGGGCGGGTACCCGCCGTACCCGGCGGGTGGCCAGACGGGCTACCCGGGAGGACCGCCCGCCTACGGAGCTCCCGTACGTGAGTACTGCCGGGCTGCAGTGCGTGGAGACGCGGCCCACCCGCGCTCGAGCCCGCGGGTGTCACCCCCCGCGGTACACGATAACCCCGAACCGGCGGACGCGACCACCGCCGACGGTGCACGGCGCCCTGGCACGCCCACTTGTGAAAACCCAGGCCGCTGCGAACGCGTGTGCTCCGCGAGCACGGAAATGCATTGGTTTGCCCACGACAAGGCCCGCTCGTGAGAATCATGCGGCGCGTCACGACTGCGCCGCCATCTTGAAGGTCCGGGTCATGGTCTCTTAGTATACTCAGTCACTCATTCAACATTATTGTCTTGCGCGTTCCATGACTCATCCAGCATTCACCATCGTTCAACGTGTGTTTTTTCCCGAATACGATAAAACTCACTTAGCTACTTTCTGTTTTCCGAACAGAAAGTAACAGAAAGGGCACGGCGCACGCCAGCCGCAAAGCGTGCCACGTGGTTTGAAACGCAAACATTGTTTCCTGTGTCTGCAAACGAATCGACTTGCCGGTCGGGCGGCCTTAAGTGCAGACCGTCGCACCTCACGCGCTGTCTGAGGGTATCCCTGGTCTGTTGCAGGGTCAGCAAGCGCCCGGGTACCCGTACCCCGGTGCGCAGCCGGGGCAGGGCGGGCCTGCGGGACCGCCGGGAGGATATGGCTACCCGACACAGCCGGGCGGGTATCCAGGCCCGGGTGGTGGGTATCCCGGCCAAGGAGGTGGATATCCCGGCCAAGGAGGCGGATACCCAGGCCAAGGAGGCGGATATCCTGGTCAAGGAGGAGGATATCCCGGCCAAGGAGGTGGATATCCTGGGCAAGGAGGTCAAGGACAGGGAGGTGGCTATCCAGGCCAAGGAGGGGGATACCCCGGACAAGGAGGTCAAGGACAGGGAGGTGGCTATCCAGGCCAAGGAGGTGGATACCCCGGACAAGGTGGTCAAGGACAAGGAGGTGGCTATCCAGGCCAAGGAGGTGGATACCCTGGTCAAGGAGGAGGATATCCAGGGCAAGGGGGACAAGGACAAGGAGGCGGCTATCCAGGCCAAGGAGGTGGATATCCTGGCCAAGGAGGAGGATATCCAGGTCAAGGAGGTGGATATCCTGGCCAAGGGGGAGGATATCCTGGTCAAGTAGGTGCTTATCCTGGCCAAGTCGCAGGAAACCCGAATCCGCTACCTGGATCCCAAGGATATGGGATCAGTCGTGGATCTGGGCCATACCAGCCAGGAAATCGCACCTATATGGAAAAGGTTAGTATTACAAAATGAATGCATTTCCAATGCTGTGAACGTTCCCCGCATCCTCATACAGCACACACGTCTTAGCTTTGGGCAGGGTGTCGATTGGTATCCTTTTATGAAGGCCCTGGACCCGCTAATGCTGGACTGAACTATCGAATGCCTGTCTCACCCGCCAACATTTTTACTCAAATATTACATACCGGCGCGTAGTTACGCAAAATATGTTTGGAGTTGAGCATAGACAACGGCCAAGTCTTCCCCAAAACACGCCGAAAGGTGGTGTCTTCCCGAACGTGGCCCGCTTTCTTTTTAAGCTAGAGGAATGGAGCCATCAACTGAAGATAAAGGGACACTTCTGTTCACTACAGTGAATTATGGTTATGAAATGGAAATTATGTTTTCATAACTACATAACGTAGGAAAATGTGAAGATTAAACAATGTGTACCGTTCTCTGGCATTATTGGTAGCTACCGTCATGCTATTTCGTATCTGATTGGTTGATAAATGATGCAAAAGTTTAGTCTGAACGTGGCCATTGGTTGAAATCCAGTGGGCTAAATTCGTCGAGAAATACACATTTGGGGAGAAGATTGGTTATTCGACCCTTGGCCCGCACCTCCCGTCAACCATTTACCCAAGACGACTCTGCTGCCTCAGAGCATGCATTCGTCCTTTGCTAATCGGCACAAGTTTTTCAGGTTGGTATAGTTATGCATCGCTTGTAGTTTAACCCTACTCGGAGCAGGCTCCCTATTCCCCATATTATTGGGCACGGAATAGGGAGTCCCTAGATCTCACTCCTTGACGAGATCTCAGGAACTATTACGCCGGTTGCAATAATCAAACTGGCCTTGATTTCAACGGTCGTCGAAATTTTCTCAATGTTTTCAAACGTATTGCGACGTGTTTTGTCATATTGTGTACATACAAGTGAGGTATATTGTGTTAAAAGTCCAGGTACGTGGTAGGCGCGAGGATAGTTTCAGGGCTGAGTATTGGGAGGGATCTCATGCAAAGTATGGCGACCTTGCCGAGAAGGTGATCTCTCCTAGCTTATAGGAGTATCTGATACTTCCGGAGAGCGAGACAGGTCTGGATTTCGACCATTCAATTTTCATATTTGCATTCTTCTATTTTTATACGGCAGAACTTTCTTACCGGGCGCAACACTCGACAGCCATGCGTGCCACGTAGGTATTTGAAAAACGCTCATGTTTGCCCATCGACTATGATGTGTCAAAGTGAGTTCAAGCTGGCTTCCAAATAGCATCAAACTCTGCCATGATAATTGATTCTAATGGCTGGTTGGTTTTCGTTTTGTGCGTCAAAACCGCTAAAAAAGTCGCGTCTTAGGTAAATGAGCTTACCTGCAGCAAATAGTTTAAATGAAGGTGATGAATATCAAAACGAAATCTAAATCGTAATGACTCAAGTGACATCGAGTGACACGAATATTGATGGTTAGCGGTGATAATTGAAAATGGCGAAGGCAGTTGAAAGTTGAGTTTTAATGCCATGTATCGTCGGGCAGCAGAACCTTGGAACAATGGAGCGCAAAAGACAAAGTGCGGTGTTTGTACGCCGTTACAGTGATAATGGGTAATTACAGATGCAAATGTTGTTTTGGACAGCCGTCCTGGCTTGGTGCGTTGGTTTTTTTTTAATGTTTTATGCAACGTTTCGGCTGATTCATTCTCCGGCCGTCTTCAAGTGTTACTGAACCCTGAAAACGACTGCCGGCGTTCGACTTTTGACCATTCATGCTTTCTCCTTCGCATTGCTGGGGTTCGAACCGGGCTTTTCTGATTTCGGGCTTGGGTACACCGCACTGCCGGCGCGTAAAATTATCTTAGCCATTTTGGTGAAAAACTTCATGTGAATTCAGGCTGCTGGTATCTGCGTGGAAGCCACCGAAAAAGTCGTCCCCTTTGTGAAAAAGTTCACATTCAGTCATGCCCGCACCCAACGACACTCAGGCGAAACGCACAGTTTTGTTGTAGCATGAGGGCATTTCTGATTGTTGCTGTCGTGGACGTTTCAAAATTGTCCGCCTAAAACGTGAACTTCTTTCAGAGGGGGTAGAGCTCCCTTTTTCACTTTTCACTCATTGCTATATCAGACGCGTACCATCTGATCGGTGATGCCAGTTTTCTCGAAATCCTTATTACTAGCTCCGAGTTTTGACTTGGCGTAGCCGCTACTGTGGGAAAAATCTATTGGGCTTCCTACTATGAAAGTAATGCGTTGCATTTCCATTGCTTTTTCCGATGTGTGTGCCCTGCACTCATCGCAACACATCAATTTGTCAAAATGCCTGTGAAATAGATGCTCAGAAAGTTTTGAACATTTTTTTTTTAGAGAAAACGATATGCAAACACCAGGCTGTTTTCCCGCGAATTCAAGGAAGCGTTATCTTATGGGTTTGGTTTCTCCCTCATGGCGTCAAGCACAGTTTCGAAACGCACCACGTGATGCAGCGAATCACGTGGTCTTAAGTGACACACTTGTTCAAACTTCAATCAATGCGTTTCTTGGTAACTGGCCTTTATCGCCCGATGTGCCGATCACAAACGTCCATTTGTACTGACGTCAGTGATGCCAGAAGAGACACCACTTTTAAGCCATAGGCCGGCAATGTGCCGGTTAAAACAGTTAAACGGCGTTTTCTCTAACCAGTAACAATTGATAACGACCCTCAGCAGATTCTGCCGTTTTCATGACGACGGTAGTCGCTACAACTATAGTATCCCAACCAAAGGTGGTATGCTCCAAAAGTGTCCCACCTTTTGGAATGTTCCACATTTTTATGTGGGGTTTGAACTGAAAAACCCATCTTGATAAATTCAGGTAACATTAAATAGCCATCTGAAAGAGCCTTTCCCCCGAACTCTGAGAGGAGAACGGTATAAATCCGTAGATAGACCTATTTTTGCCGTAATTTGGTGGTAATTGGGGTTATTTCTCATTGTTCAGCCCAACTTCCCTAGCTTATTTTGTGTTTTGTGAAGCTATACCCATGTAGGTTAGATTTTAATGAGTCATCTAGGAATCACTACGTGCTATTTTGTATCTACCCTCTTCACTGTTCCCCACTATCATTGACCGTGACAGGCAAGAGCGCCTTTCATATCAAACTCCAAGCTTTTAGTTTGGGTGATACCGTGGTGATAATCTGATCAGGGCCGCACAGTTGAGGGTAGCTGAAGTTTGACCACGTGCGATTCGCCCACCTCTCTCAGCATTGCCTCCTGATCTCTGCTTTGACTTCAAACCTGATTAAACCTACGACTGTGTTGCTAATGCGCTGTTGCGCCGTCATTTGAAGGCCTTGGCTGCTACCGCGTCGCGCACCAGTAGCGGAGTATAATGCTTACCTTTGGTATTTCGCGGACGTAGCAGCCCAGTAAGAAAACTTCTGTCGTTTGGTAGCCTTGCAGCAGATTTTCTCCACCCGTGGCGTTTTCATATCTACCGGAATAAATACGCTGCACGTCATCCCTCCGGGCGCCGCCAGCCACTGGTTGTGCAGCTTGTTGCCGTGTGCTGGAACGGACGCCGACGGGCCGGCGGTCGCCCGGCTGGCGATGCGGCGGCAAGGTGCACCCGAGCAGGCGCGGAACGCCAATGAAGAAGCGCTGCGTACGTCAAACGTTCGTCGCCTATGAAAAGCTTAATGGAGGCTACAATGGAATGAGTGCTCCCGCAATAGCAACTGCGACCGTGCTATCGCCTTGCAGTTTAAACTTCCACTTCCAAGCTCAGTCTGAGCGACAGTCAAAACATGCGCCGCGCTTCGGCTAGACCACTTCAGGCCCAGTGAGGGACCTCCCCCGCAGTCTGGATGCAAGACGGGCCAAAGCGGCACAAGCAGGGTGCGTGTGCACGCATATGATATATGGAGGCATGTGTCGACCGCTCTATCGCTTTGGAGATTGAACATGCCATTGTACAAGTGGTCTGGGCGGCTAGCGGCCGGCCTGTTGATAATTGCCCTGAGTCCAACAACGGACCTTCCCGCAAGTTAGATACAAGAGCACCCAAACTGTGCCAGACTGTACAAACAAATGTTGGGGTAGGTTTGGTGAACCTTACTGGCTGCGCTCCGTCCTCTCCCAAACCGATTCTGAAAAGAGTCACCCCTGCAACAAGCCGCCGAGTGCCAAATGTCAGCTTACGGTGACCTTGGCCGAACGTGCCGTCTGGTAAGCGAAGCGGGGGGGGGGGGGGGGGGCGCCGGGGACCGGATTGACCGGGGTAGGCCTTCTCCACACAGCACCTCTGAGAGCACCGAGCGTGGCAAGGAGGGGACGGATTTCATCCAGCTCGGCCAGAGCCAGAGGCGGTGACGAAATTTCGTCATGTGACATAACGAAGACGACTTCCTTCAGCGACTCCGTTCGGCATGGCTTTGGTTATGTAGGTCGCCATCGCGGTGGTAGTGTACGCACACTCGCATTATTTCATTTGCAGAAAGATGTCACACCCAATTAAAAGGAACACGAAATCCCTACTTATCATGTTTCACCACGCCATGACCTTGGTTTCTGTATAACAATGTAGGTAATACGCAACGCCATGGGCCCAACGAACACGCGTGTGCCTGCAGTGACGAACATTGCAATGAGAGGGCGGAGGTTGAACCGTGCAAAATTCTGAAAACCTCGCCTCCCCAAAACTCACTCGTGTTTTATCCCGAATTTGCCCATTTCCTCTCTCAAAGTGTGTTTGTAGCGGGGCGGGGGGAGGGGGAGGGGGAGAGCTAAAGCCATCCTGTTACGCGCTTGGACGATCTTGCATCTAATCTGTAAAGGGTGGTGCCTTTTAGGAAATGGGGTGATCCTCGACCGGGCGGCCGCATGCCACTCACAGCACCTTTGAAGCAGAAGCTTGACATTTCCATTCCCGAAAGCGATAGAGTGGTCGAAGCATGTCTACATATTTGGCATGCGTCAACACGCGTCTCGCTCGTGCCGATTGGCTGCTTTGACATCTAGCCCGCTGGTAGGTCCAATGCTGGACTTGAAGCGCCGAAGTTGCGCCTCATAATGCGTAAGTTGGGACCCGAAAGCGATGAAACGGTCGGACAGCTCTGGCATTTGCGCATACACGCACGTGTGCTACGTTTATACCAGTTTGGGCTGTCTTGGACCTTATTTGTCAGGAGGTCCGTTATTGGACCCGGTAATTCTCAGTCGACTGGTCCCAGCTGCATAGGGGCTTTTACAATGGCACGTTCAGTCATCAAAGCAATAGAATGGTGAACACATGTCTCCGTGTGTCACACACGCGCACACGTCCTGCGTTCGGCACGTTCGAAAAGAACGCCAGTTTTGGCCGGTCTTGTATCTAAGCTGCAGAGAAGTCCCTTTGTGGGCCTGGAGCGATCTAGCCGAAGCTGCGCCTCGTAGTGCGTGGTCTGGGCCCTTAAAGTGGTGAGACGTTTGGCTCAACCCAAACATTTGCACACACGGACACACGTGCCATGTTTGCACCGTTTTGGCCGGTCTTGCACCTAGCCTGCTGTGGGTTCCGTTACTGGACCCGGCCGCGCGGCCGCCTGTCTCGCAGACCGCTGTCAAGGGCATTGAAAGCTTCACAATATCAGTCCCGGAAATCAAAGAATAAGCAGCAAATATCGATAATTTTCACACATATGCACACGCGCTGTGTTTTAAACGGTTTGGACGATGTTGCTCCTAACGTACGGGGTTCGTTGATGGACTCTGGCCAAGTATCGACCGGCCGGCCGGCAGCCGCCCAGACCGCTGATACGAGGACTGAGTGGCTGCTGCTCAGACCCGTTTTAAAACTGACAGGTTGTACTTGAAGCCGATAGCACGGTCGCAGTTGCTATTGCGGGAATACTTGTCCCATTATAGCCGATAATCCGCTTTCACATTGGTGACGTACGTTTGCCGCACGCAGCGTTTCGTAATTAACGTTTCGTGCCTGCACGGGTGCACCTTGCCGCCGCATCGCCGGCCCGGCCGTGCGTCGGGCGTCCGCCATCTGGCGGCAGCCAGGCGCGAAGGGGTTCTTGCAAGCTGCGATCTGTTGCCGCGCTGGGCGGTGGGTGTGTCCGGCGTGCGGTTGAACGCAGTGAGACACAGCCGCCGCAAGCTTCGCAATGGCCCAGGTCAGTTGGCGCGGCCGGCGGGGGCGTGGCAGGCTGCTTTGCATGGAGCGGGGAGCCGAGCCGGCCGATAACGCGGCCACTGTGTGGATAACGCGGCCACGCAGCGCAGTCGGTCCCAATAACTGAGCCGTCTGCAGCAAGAGTTTTAGAATTTTGTGGAAGTTGATGACCTTTGACGTGACCTAGAGTCACCAAATTTTCAGCAGCATGTGGAATTTGGGTATGGGACACTGTAGTGGAGGTTTGGTAGCGATCGGTGCAGTAGGCTCTGAGAACTGGGTCATCTGCCAGCAATACTTTTGGGATTTATGAAGCTTGATGCCCTTTGACCTGACCTAGGGTTACCAAACTTTCAACTTTATCAGAGAATTAGGTATGGCACGTCCGTAAGTGAAGGTTTCGCAGCGATTGGTGCAGTAGGTTCTGAGAACTGAGTTGTCTGCAAACAATATTGGAATTTGTGAAATTTGATGACACTTGGCCTGACCAAGGGTCACCACATTCTGAACTGCAAGAAGGCCCATCGTTATTTTCTGCTTCCTCTTCAAGTGGAGCCTATCAGTGTAATTCAGAAGAACTCCGTCAGTGCTCCAGTCTCGCTCTGACCGGGACACAGCCATGCTAACCGTCCCCGCGTGCTCAGTCGCAGGGCACCATCCGGGCGGCTCCGGGCTTCAACGCCGCCGAGGACGCGGCGGCCCTGCGCAAGGCCATGAAGGGCTTCGGCACGAACGAGCAGGCCATCATCGACGTTCTGTGTCGCAGGAGCAACGCCCAGCGCCAGCAGATCGCTGTCCAGTACAAGTCTGGTTACGGCAAGGTGAGGGGGGAGTGGGTGACGGACTGGCGACGTCAGAGGGGCGGGGGAGGGGAGTTCCGCGCACACCGCTCTCCTGTCCATGAAAACGGGGATACAACGTCACGTCAGTTTGTCTGGCCTCTTCTCCCGGCTCTTTCGTTCGTAGTATTTGTGGTCTCTGCTGTTTTTTCCTCATGCATCTCAGAGTGGGTTACTCTTAGCTGCGCCTTTGTTTAGGTCTTAAAATGTGATAGCCCGTTTCATCCCGGGGCTTACACGCCCTTCAATGGCTCGGATTGGAAAGTAATTAGAGAAGAAGAAGTTTTGAAAGTTTTGGAAACGAGTTTTGACAAATTGGAAGAAGAAGATATTGTACTTTAGCCCCAAGCCGGGTGTGCCCCTCCCCCTCCCTTGGTTGTGTTCTGGATCCGCCCTATTTCTTCTGCTTCTTTGCTGCCGGTTGCGGCTTCCGCGTCCGCCGGGGGGAACTCGGCGAGCGAAATCGCAGCTCTAATTTCCAGAACCTGGGCTGAAATCCCGCACAACGCGTAACTTTCCAGCTACTTCGTCACTCTCCAGACACCCGGTGACCCTAATGACCCTGATGTAACCCTAATGCGGCGACCGGCGTGGGTGTTGGTGACGCTAATAGTCGCAAGAGTTGCATGTGTCGGTAAATCGTCAGATCGTTAAAGGGAGTGTCCAGCCGTTTTGCATTTCCCTACCTTTTCTCAAAATCTTTCCGAAAAGTTCTGATATTTGATTCGAACTGGCCTCCTCGACGGGACCAAATATCTTTGGAACTTGCTCTTCGTCACTGTCAAATTCAAAATTCCTATCTGTTTGACTGTTTCCAACGTGTATGTCATGTGAAAGTCTCAGTTCACCAATTCGCAAGTATCCTGGTGCAGTACATTACACAGGAGCCTTGAACCCTCGATTGAGGAACAATATATGCAAATATGCGGTCAATCTCATGCGAATTCAACGATACGCTGCACTATGGCTTTGATGCCTGCCGTATGGCGTTTAGCCAGGTGCCCTGTTCGACGGCTACTTTGGCTTTGGGGAACATAGTTTACATAGATGCCAGCTAAGTCCAGGGCTGCTTGAACGAGGCAGGTGTACACCTGCGAAATATCCGCTGGCTTTGTGACATGTTTCGCCAACTCGCTTCTCGCCGAATGCCTGCACCGCGCTGTGATAACTGAAAGCGTTCATAGCTGATAATAACATTCATACCTCATCAACACGCAAATGTAACCTTTGTCCACCACCAGAAGCACTGTGGATAGCAGTATAATGCGATGAAATGAATACATTTGACTCGCCTGCCACAAAATATTTTCATCCCAAGCATATTGGCTTTGCCTTGCATTGACTGACACATTGCCCACGCTCGGAACCATTATCATCACATCATTAACTCATTCGTGCACTCGTGGTAAACCAAAGAATACTGTACTGATTTCTTGCTGGATTGTGTTGGTAAATATGCTTATTTTACCACCTTGTACAGCTTGCTTTGCCACCACACAATGTAAGCATAGGTCATTGCATAAGCAATTGTGCTGGACTATTATCTACAATTGTGCCATGTGTGGAGTCTGGGAATTGTGCCAATGCTTTGCAGGATGTTCACAATGTTCCACTGAACATGTTATGGCTGGGTTTTGCCAAGATATTGCACAATAGTTACAGAAAAGATCTGCGCCCCACATTGGAAGAGCTTGTCAAGAACAGCAACCACAGACTATCATGATGACATTTGTATCAGAGTCTGACTGACAACTCTCAAAGGCAATATGAACCAATCACAACATCCACTCAGTTGAGTGTTTCAGCCAATTACTTAAAGATTTTTAAGTCAAATGGTAACCTATGATACTATTTTGACTGGTTGTTTTAATATGTAATGCTGATGTTCTTCTGTAGTCATTATGCAATATTTTGGGAAATCCAGCAATGACTACCTGAGAATATTATTGTGAACACCCTGGTAAGAATCCTGGCCCATTTCTGGTCCATGTACTTATGGCTCAAGTGCACTAATTACCCAGCACAATTTTTGGTATAGACTTCACAGCTTACTGTGCTGGCAAAGCAAAATGGATAAAACAGTAAGTTAGGCACATGTACCCAATTGAGTAAACAGAGTTTTAGGTGAGGAATGATCATAGGAGTACAGCATTACGTTTTAGTTCCTACATCCATACCGCAAAATGTGTGTTATTTCTAATGATTTCAACTGAACCTCACCAGTTTTAAACATGCAAAGGTGAGCATAGACATGAGGGAACATTTTTGTCAGCATTTTATCAGCCCAATAACAGATAAGGCACATGGAACAAAATGTGTTTACTGAAAACTTGGGGTTATCAGCTGCTGATAATGTTGAATGGCAGCCATCATCGAACTGCACATCACTGCTGCATTTCACCATCTGTTCCAACATGGGGTGTTCATGCTATGATTATTATGATAGATTTCAAACAAGTGGTCTTGACATGTTAAGTGGAACATGGCAAATACCATGGTGAACACCTGTCTAATTTTTGGCCTCTGGCTTTGCTTAATTGCATTGGTAACCAACCAGCACAATTATCAGTGCATATAGCCAGATTGAGCCGCACTCTCCAACAGTATGTTTGTAAGAGGAACATTGGGCTCTAAACTTGATCTAAGAACTGTGCTTTTGGTCTGTTAACATGGCATAAGCATAACATTTTTTTAATTCCCATACTCATGATTTTAAATCAGTTGTTCATCACTTCAGCTTCGCTTCTCCAATTATTTGCTTGCAAAGTGTTACAAGACCAGCATGGAAGGCATTAATGTTTTATTTCTACCAATAAGACACATGAGACATAACAGGTACAAAATGACACACTTCATTTCTTCGCTGCCTACATGCCACCAATGCCGGATATTAATAAACAGTCAAATCTTTTCACCGTTTTTGAGCAGACGATTCGGTGCGAGTTGAAATACCCTTCTGCGATTATTACTACGCAATATATTGAGGAAAATAGCAATCATGTGCCGAGCAGGGCTACTTTAACATCTTGCAAACCGTTATCCACACTTCGCATGCGGTGTGGAAACTGACAACCATCCGTAATGGCCATGAACTTACAGCAGCAATTATCTTTCGTGCGCTGGAATCGTCCAAGGCGTCAGAAACACACTAGTGAGGGTGTGAAATGTTGGTCGCGCAATTGGAACTTGAAACTAAGTGAACTCATTTGCACATACTATCCTGTTGGTGAACCAGTTCCGCCTCCCCTCAGTACTTTTTACACAAATAACAGATTCTGAGGGCTCGCCAGAGCATGTTTTTGAAAGATGTTCCAAGGGTGGAACACTCACCAATCATTAAGAACAACGAATTTTCCGCCACTGACGGCGGCTGCCCAGCTAGGGCTGTCGACGGGAACCAGTGACGTCACTCGCCTTCCCCTTTCTCCAGGATCTGACCAAGGACCTGGGGAAGGAGCTGGGCGGCAACTTCGAAGATGTGATCCTGTCGCTGATGACGCCGCCCTTCGAATACCTGGCGAAGGAGCTGCACGAGGCCATGTCAGGCGCGGGCACCGACGAGGACACGCTCTTCGAGACGCTCTGCACGCACACCAACGCGGAGCTGAACGGCATCAAGGCCGCCTACGAGCACAGTGAGCGCCATGCTGTTGCGTTGCTGGGCGGCAGTCCCGGGCCATGGCGTAACTGAGCGTCATGGGAAGCGTTACAAAACGCGACTGTGAACGCTCGATGCTCTACATCGCACGTGATATCGTTCACGTGACCTCCTCTCCTCACGCTGTGGCTAAGAGTACCAAGGGCTAAGGGTCTGGCCGCTGGGTCGCACACGACCCATGGAGGTTTTCATGACGCGCTTGCGATGCGCTTACCGCGGTGCCGTGCCGCGGAGCATGTTGTATATTCTGTTGCATCTGCTGTATCTTCAACTGTCTCTTTCCCACATTGTGAATGCGCCCGCTATAGTTCTGTGTTCCGTATGCTCAAGAAACTGAACCTTTGTCATTTACAGTATAGTTACGTATGGCGCATAGTTGGTTTTAACAACAACATTTATAATTGAACCTTTTTCAGTTGCGTCTGTTAGTGGGGTGCTCGCTGCCAGTACCCCCCCCCCCCCCCCGCCCACTCATACACACACGCACGCACGCATGCACGCACACACGCACACCGACAGTTGTACCGCCACTAACCTGATGCCGCTCGCCGCCAGTGTACAGCAGGCCGCTGGAGTCTTCTGTTCGCTCCGAGGCGAGCTCCAACTTCAAGCTCCTTCTCACCGCCATCTTACAGGTGGGACGGGTCGGCGGCGTTCAGTCCGCACTCATGGCGGTGATGGCGCACATGCGTAGGATGACCTGAAATGCCTTGAGGAGATACAGCTTTATCCATAACGTTTCAGAAGTTGACGCGTAGTGTGTGGCGATTAATGAAAAGAACAGACTCGTAAAACCATTTAGCTACCCAAGCGGCGACTCCCTTGGTGCAGTTCCTCTCATGCATACGCATTCAGCATTCACGATGAAGCGAGCGGAGATGTTTCTGAAAAGGGATGTGAAAAGACACTAGAAAGAAAAACGAACGTGTTCTTGGACATCCACTTTTAGGCTCTTTAACTAGACTTTCTTACAGCTTCTGGCAATCCTGCGTGGCGCATGATCAAGGGAAGATGCTTCCTGGGCTTACTTTGCTTCTGATGGTCCGCAGGTCGACTGTTAGGCCCGCCCTGGCCCTTTGACTGACCCTGTTTGTGTGCAGAAGGGGGGGCACAACTGCCTCCCTTGCCCCCCCCGCGCCTCCGGCGCTCCCGGCAGGCATGGAGGCGAAAGTATGTTTGTTGACCATCAAAATGTTGAAAGCCTCTTGCCCAAATCGACGGCCCTGTAGCGTCACCTGCCTAGCCAAAATTGTAATCAGGGAGGGTCCATAACTGATCTAAGAGGTACTGAATCTTACTCAGAAGGATCCCTGTTGCTAGCTGTGATCTGTGTCTCCGTCCCTGACTGTGACCTGTGTCTCCGTCCCTGGCTGTGACCTGTGTCACCGTCCCTGGCTGTGGCTTCTGTCTCCGTCCCTGGCTGTGACCTGTGTCTCCATCCCTGGCTGTGACCTGTGACCCTCTCCCTGGCTGTGACCTGTGTCGCCATCCCTGGCTGTGACCTGTGTCTCCATCCCTGGCTGCGACCTGTGATCCTCTCCCTGGCTGTGACCTGTGTCGCCATCCCTGGCTGTGACCTGTGTCTCCATCCCTGGCTGCGACCTGTGACCCTCTCCCTGGCTGTGACCTGTGTCGCCATCCCTGGCTGTGACTTGTGTCTCCGTCCCTGACTGCGACCTGTGACCTGTGGCCCTTTCCCTGGCTGTGCTCTTTATCCCTGTCCCTGACCTTGACGTGTGCCTCTGAATCGGCAGGCTAACAGGGATGAGTCCCCTCACGCTGACCCGGCAAAGGCAGCCAACCAGGCGCAGGCGCTCTACAAGGCCGGTACGTCGTCTTTCTGTGGTTTAGCCTCGTCTATTCCCTCGGCCGCACGGATTGAGGCAAGCAATGAACAGTGCAGCAATCCTAGTAGCTAGTCTTATAAATATAGGTATCAACAGTGTTATGATTTTTATTTTCCATATAAATTATAATGCTGTCGATTGTTCCAATGCTGATTGCATGATCCAAGCATACGCGGAATTCGCATATTCTGTTGAATGTTGCAATAGCCAAAATTCGAACACTCTAATATGCACCTTTATTTCTAGCTTTGGGGCGTATTTCAAAAGCATACTCTGGTGAATCCCTCAGACTATTTACGTTGCATAATAGCACTGGGTAGTGCCACTGCGGCATCATCAACATACGTGAGGATATAAATTTTGACTATTTCCGAGTCGAAATTGCACCGTCAACGCCTTGTAACATCACTACACTTCTTCCTGTCTTGGAAGCCCCAGGGTGTATCCCGAGTCTGCGACAGCTGCAGTTGTCGTGACTGCCGTCGTCATGACGGCGGCAGAACCTGCTGAGGGCCTGTATCAGCTCCTGCGGGTTAGAGTTACTACTTTTGAGCTGTTTTAATAGGCATACTGCGGGCCTACAGACTTAAAAGTGGCCTCTCTACTGACATAAATATATTCACGACACGTGAACATTTGCGATTGGTGCAGCGAGCGACAAGGACCAGTTACCGAGACGCGCATTGGTTGAAGCTTGAGCTAGCGCGTCATTATAGGTTACGTCATACTACGTTTCCCAAAACCAAAGTACGCTTCAAAAAGAGCTACTATGGTCGACGCCGTAGGGGAGAAATTAAAGCCATAGCAGAACGTTCTTTTAAGTTCGCGGAATAATAACTCTTTAGTTTGGTATAATTCCCTAAAAAAGTGTTTCAGGCTTTTGTAGCATTTATAACGCAAGCATTTTGACAATTTAGTGTGTCGAAACATTACGGAGGACAAGTTGGAAAGAGCAAATGGAATGAAATGTGTTATTTTCATAGCGGAGAGCAAGAAGTTCAATAGGATTTCTCCCGCAGCAGCGGCTACTTCAAATAGAAATTGTGAACTCTCAGAAGGATTTCGAGAAAACTGGTATTACCGATCAAATCGAGCGCGTCAGATATCACAAGTGAACAGTACGAAAAGGTGGTACGCTCCCTTTAAAAGGTGACTTCCTCACATCTACAATGTACTGTCGGTATTGGAATAAGTCGTGAGGCACCTGATTTACATATGTTGTCAAAACCTTCCCCATGGTCGTGCTGAGGTGACAGACCACCGGGTTACGCGTGCTGAGATCTCCGGGATTGCAGAGCTCGGAGTCATGGGTCGAAGGCGGACTGCTGTAATTGGCGCCCTAACAAAACAAAAAAAAAACAACAGGGGAACAGATCCAGTACGCGGGACGACTTCCTTAGGATCTGGTGACGTATGCGAGGCCGGCTGCTGTCACGCCTCGGCTGAGAGCAGCCGACCAGCCTTCACCCCGTGCCAATAACCGCTGAAGCATTTGTCGATGCATGCAGGTTTTGGCGCAAGAACGTCATCACATCCTAACAAAAACCGGAACCGGTGAAAGTTTCTGCTGTCGGGGATCGAACTCGGACTTCTTGCCCCAACGGCGAACACCTCTGTTCGCCCACTGACGACGCCGACCTTGACCGCGGCAGGCGAGAAGAAGAGGGGGACGGACGAGGAGACGTTCACGGTGATCGTGGCGACGCAGAGCGCCGCCCAGCTGCACGCCATCATGGCCGAGTACGAGAAGCTCTCCAAGAAGAGCCTGCTCGACGCCATCAGCTCAGAGACGAGCGGGGACTACCGCCAGGCGCTGCTGGCTGTCGGTGGGTACCGTGTGAGCCCAGGCCAGGTCGGGTTAGACCGAGCGAGATCAGTGAGAATTGGTGGGTAATGCTGGCTTCGAAGAAGGGTAGGATATAGCGGGTTACGCCGCGTCACGGCACGCCACGTCGCTTCTCGTTACTTTACGTCACGTCACGTCACGTCGTCATGTCACGTCATGTCATGTCATGTCACGCCATGGCACACCACGTCATGTGATGCCATGTGATATCAGGCCAAGCTGGCTGGGACCATTGAGGTTCGCTAGCGCGGCTGGCTGTGAGGAGGGCAGCTCTGGTCAGGTCAGCTCTGGTCAGGGCAGCTCAACATATACGGTTACAACTTCTCACTGTGGAAGCGACACGCAGCGCCAGCGACCTTCACGTTCCCACCTTCGCCGACATTCCCCGTCGGCGCTGATCACTCGCTCAAGGCTCCACACGGAGATACGTGTGTCCTGCCTGAACGCGCGGACGCGCTGTCCCCAGTTAAGAGCTCGCTGAACCGGCCGGCCTACTTCGCCGAGCGGATCCGGGACACGATGAAGGGCATGGGCACGCGGGACGGCGACCTCATCCGGCTGATCGTGTCCCGGGCCGAGTACGACCTGGCCAACATCAAGCAGGAGTACCTCAGACGCTACGGCCACGCCATGGAGAAGGACGTGTCGGTGAGTGGGGGCGCGTGCCCGCGGCCGGCACCGGGGCGGAGTGTGGACGCGTCCCACGATTGGTCGTAGAATGTGGGACACTACGCCGTCATACAGGCCCTGCACAATGCCTCGGCGGTGACGTTGCAAGGAAGTTGAGCGCGCATCTTGCTTCGTGGTGTCATACAATTGTGCAATATGACGCTAGTGGAGGGGCACACCGATTATGGTCGTGCGGTGCAATCCCCTCATGGGCTGGTCCCAGCCTTGGATACATCCACTGACGAAGCTGGGATCATGCCAGTAAACCAAGTCACTACGCCTAAGGCATCATCACAGTGTCATGCTCACGATCGGCTGCCGTCGGGTGAGGGGACGGTGGGGACCATCAGCCATATCGAACCGTCGGGTGAGGGGACGGTGGGGACCTTCAGCCTGATCGAACTGTCGGGTGAGGGGACGGTGAGGGCCGTCAGCCATATCGAACCGTCGGGTGAGGGGACGGTGGGCACCATCAGCCACATCGAACCGTCGGGTGAGGGGACGGTGGGGGCCTTCAGCCAGATCGAACTGTCGGGTGGGGGACGGTGGGGATCCTTCATACAACACTGGACTCGGATGGCGACACGCAGTAGTCTTCAGGAGGCAGTGGTGACAGTATGGCTGGCGTAGTCGCACTGAATGCTGAGCGAAAGGTTCGAATGGGGTCGAAGATCTTCATGCGTGGCTAAGTCGATTACTCGTTTCTCAACTTATAGACCTGAGCGGGCACGGAAGGCAGGTTCGTATGTCACATCTTGTGTCACGTTTCCTGGTGTTTGTTTTTTACGCATCACATTGCTCATGTTCTGTTTCAGTCGGAGACGTCTGGCGACTACAAAAAGGCGCTGGTGATGATCATCGAGGGAAACTAGCTCCAAAATCGCGAGCCGGAGAGCAAGCCGAGGCCCGCTTCCAAAACGATGCGCGTCGCACCTCAAATCCTTCTTCCAGCTGTGGTGTCGTGAAATTTCAAATGTGTCTTGTTTGATGCTCAGAGGTCGTGGCTGGAGGAAAAAACTTCTGCAACCACCTTAAGGAGAGAGGTGCTTGGCTCGCCTCCTTCAGCCAGTCATGACACTCTTCTAGGCATGATGGGCATGGACCACGACCGTTACTGCGGATGTTACAGTACAACACCAAAAGCCAAAACACCCGTACACCGATAGCTGTAGCTTCGCGCTTGCCTTCCGCTGTGACGGATAACTCGTGTTCAGCTCTGTATGCGTTTGTGGTGGCTGGCTACTGTCACAGTCTGCCACAGTGCGACGCGTCATAGGGGCTGCCGCCGTCGTCTGGCGCCTCTTGTTTACTTTGGCTGTAGTAGCGTCGGCGTCATGTAATTAGCAAATGTTTTTTTTCGAAACTTTATCACTATACAGGAACAAATAAGGTTGTCTTGTTTCCGTCGGCATGGCTTGCTGCGCTGGGAATATCAACATGACAGGTGAGGGGCCGGCATTCAACCTGTGCGGGATGACAGAAACCTGTGCTAATAGGATCGGCAGGGACTTCGCTTACCACAGTGCCGCCTTCGCTAGTACCGCCATCGCTAGCACCGCCCCTGTAGTGCCGCGGTCAGTAGTGCCGCTCCTGTAGTACCGTCATCGGTAGTACCACCCCTGCCTGTCGCGATCGATAGTACCACCACCCCCCTTTGCCGTGGTCGGTGGTACCGCCTCTATCCATGTCGGCTTTGGGCCTCCAAACGATCGTGTTGTAATGAAACCAGGAGGGCAAGGCTGTGCATTCATTTTACCGCACCTTTGCTCCTCATAAATCTGATTAAGGCTGGAGGTATCGTGCTATGGCAAAACGACAGAGGTGGTTTAGACTGATGGGAAAGTTAAGTGACGAGTTTCACGGCGCGACGAGTTGTGCGTGAGTGTGACCGCTGCTTATGGCTGTAATATTAGGACTGTCACAGGCATGAATCGTTTTACTCCGTGGACGCAGGTATGGACGCGCATACAAATAATCTCTGGAAAGTGCCCGTCCACTCTAACCCCATGTCTACCTATAGGGGTTGCCACTGCTACCAACACAGTACAGGAGGCCAACGGACTGGGACGGGTGCTGTCAGAGCGATGCGGTGTGGGGTCATGTGATCCAAGGTTGTTGTGGCGTGATGCCAATGCGAGTGTCGCACTGTGCATTCTGGTTTGAGTAATCAAGAGTCGTATAGCGCCAGATTTTCTTTGGAAGGGTTAAAGGGAATGCTCCACATTTGAAGGTATTGAGGTGAAGCGTCAGATATGATGGGAAACACTTTCTTTTAACTATTGGTAAGCTTTCAAGGCTCAAAAACGACCCCAAACAACAAAATTTCGAAATTTGTAGAAATGCGCTCCATGACGTCATCGTTTGATGGCGTCACGGAATATGGATATGCGCCAATGAATTTCTACTCGCAGTTGTGTGCGCGTAATTTTACTTGCCGCCGACCTCGTTTAAGTCATTCCCCTCGGGTGATGCGTGCATGACAATCATTACACTTGTGTATCACGTTATTAATGTATTTTGAGTGCTAGGATATCTTGTACTCCTTTATAACAAGGGAAAACTCGGCGGTAGTCATCAGCCATCAGCTGATGACGTCGACCAGCCGGGCAGCGCTGGCAAGGGGCGGGACACAGGGAGCACGCCCCCCCCCCCCCCGCCCTCCCGCCTTAGGTTACGGGGCGCGAGCGCGCTCACCACGCTCTGGCTGCGCTCCTGCACCAGCCGGCAAGCCGTAAATTAGCTAGGAATGTTCGAGCTCGATTTTGATGGTGCTTAGCCGCCAACTTCAGTTTATTTTACCGTTTTTTTCCAAAATACTTGGTTTTAATGACAGGATTCACCGTGATCTGGAGAAAATGCATATGCTCCATGCATGTGCTTACGCTGCACGTCTAGCTTTCTAGTTTAGCACATTATGATGGGTTCCCGTATTCACTGTTCATATATATATATATATATATATATATATATATATATATATATATATATATATATATTCCGAGTGTGGCGTGACTTGCGAGGAATGGGCGAAGTGTTTTACGTTGTCCCAGCACTGCTCGATTTTTACTGCGTCAAATCAGAAAGACGTTGCGTGACACAATGAAGCGCAGGGTGTAACGCTTTTTGCATTGTCAGACACCTGGCAACATCTCAGCTATTCATTATCAGAAAACTGAGCATGCTCTAGTGGATGAAATCTTACGGCAGGTAGAGCTCTGGAAGGGATCAGAAAGCATTAAACATTTGGTCCCTCTCTGGGCGTCCGAACTCATTCGGCTGATCGGGTAGAGCTGACGTCGCTGCAAAAGAGGGTACAGGTGGTCCTCCACGTTATTCTGCTCACGCACCAT